ACTGGGGGGGGGGGGGGGCAGGGTAATATGGTTTTTTTTGAAAAGGCGTTTTTTTCTGTAAGAATAGGTTTTTGTTTGGGGTTTGGACAAATGAGTTTGTTTTGGCGCCGGTCGGCTTGAGCAGTGTCTCGTGGCTGTAGGTTATTGGCAAAATCTGTTTTCGTTTGGTTTTTTTTCTGCGCATAGAGTGATTCAACTTGGACAGCTAGAACTTCAAGTACTTCTACTGCGTGTATTGCGGCTACTACTACTAGTAGTTCCTTTTTTGCATAATTACCTGTGTTCCTGCGGAAGCCTTCGAAGCCGTCGGGGAGAAGGTGCGCAGGAGGAGAATGCGAGCCGTACCGTACTGTGCACGTCACCTGGTGGTGCAGGCGGCTTCCACTGACCAGGAATCGCCGCTCTTCAGAACGACCGCGGTGTCCAATCTTCCCACTCCGAGTCCGAAGCTTTCCGAAGCGCTTGGCCCTGCAGATCAGGCGAGCTACCGAGGGTCCTTTTATGGGTGCTGTACAATGTTCAATGATCCTAGGTTTTAATGCATCTCACATGTTGCCTGGCATGCGAATGTCTGAAGATTTTCAGGTTCACACGGCACCTTCACAGTCTGCAGCTCAGCGCTGCCGCTGCCTCTTAGGCTTTGTGGCAGGAGTGCCTGCAAACACCGCACCGGCACATGCTAGCGCTCATGGTTGTGTGGTTCGCAGGCACTTTACAATGCCGAGTTTCGTGCCTCCGTATATGACATCGACGGCACCGGCAGGCGCACAGCTACGCAGCAGTGACTGAAGAATGCTGACCTAAATTCAGTCACTCTGCTGAGTCGTTCAGTTCTGAGTTCGTTGTGGTCAGCTCTAGCGCGACGACTTGGATTGAAAGGCAACCTTGCATACATGACGAGCCCTATGGCCAACATGGCGGTGCCCGTGCTGCCCAACATGCCTCTTCCTTACGGGCGAATTTTGTTGCAAGCATTGCCGACTGAAAATATGCATCTGATGCATTCATAAATGGTGGTGTGATGAGGTGTGGCGTCACGACGGTAGCGCCGTTTCAACATTCTGCAGCCTTCGCCGCTTGCTGAGAAGTTTCACTTCATGAGCCCATCAGGAGTCATCTGCCTTTTAGCTCCTTCGCTGCTCGGAACTTTAGTTGCTGCAGGTGCCGGCAGGCTCGTATGAAGATCCCGGAGCTGAGTTTAAGCACCTTGTCAGGAATTCAAAGGGTTTTGGGTGCAAGAGAAGCTTATGCACCGACTCGACTTTCGCCTAGTGTTTCTCAGCTTGTCAGGCATGACACAAGATAAACCGATTATGACTGGGCCTTGTGGCATTCCCCTAGCTCCTAAACCAACATATACGGATTTTCCTGGACTCTTGTGCTGAGGGCAGCCTCGCCCTACAACTACAAGGCAGGCTGGTTTAAGGCATCCAGACATAGCATTTCAGCGTTTGTATGTTGGCATGGCGCATTTCGCTTGATTACTAGTCCTTGGCTGCTAAGTTTGCAGGCAGGTTCTATCAAAAAGGCAGGAGGGGCACAGCCATCTACATTGGCACGCAGACATAATATATAGATAAATGAACAAAGTCAACGAACAACAAGTGGTTCAGTAATATATATATATATACACAATCGGTGACTGTATAGCGACATGCAGCCGTTTGAAGTTGTTGTGGAATAAAAGCTAACAACAGTATAAAATGGAAATACAAGTGTTCAATGCTATCGTGCGCTCAAAGTTACTTTATGGGTTAGAATGTGTGCAGCTAACTAACGCTGAACTCTCTACCGTAAATGCCTTCCAGAACAAATCGTTAAGAATAATTTTACACATCCCACCTACATTCATAGACAGAGAACAGACCAATGCCAGAATGTATGATAAAATACGAAACGACTATGGATGTTCTTTTGAACACTTTGCTGACACATGGCGCAAGGCAAAGTTCAGACTTTTTGGACACATATTGCGAGCCAGCCCAGCAGATCCTCTGCTTCAAGTTAGTTTCAAAACTGACGGATTGACACCTAGAGCTCCCACCAGAAGGCGGACAGGCAGGCCCAAAGCAGATTGGACCACTGAAGCTTATAAAGATGCATACGGAATACTGCATGGAGATGCTAACAGCTTTGATGTCAATAATACACAACATCTAAATGAGATCAAACAGTCAGCTAGAAATCGTCAAGGACCTTTTGCTGTGTGATACATGAAGATTGTACATCGGGGCGCAGCCCCAAAGGCCATCGGCCTCTCGAGGTATTCCTCTCGGTAATCTCGTTACATTTTCTTGGGGAACGTGGCGCCAGTTGCTTATTCTTTTGTCCAAACAGCATCGCTATTTTCTTGATGGTATGTCTCCTTTTATGATTGCTGAACACTTTTCACTGCTGTAGTGCTCCTCTACTTGCGCTATATATTTTCACAGACCTGTTGGGAGCCCTCCTGTGCTCGACAGAAAAATATACATATATATCTACTTGCGTACACATGTATGTATATATAGATACATGCATATGTATACGTGGAGTATATTTACAGGTATAGGTTATTATACATGTATATATATACATATAATTATTTCGCCTTGTTTGTGTTTATACCTATGTATATATATCTATACACATATGTACACATGTATACTTGTACATGTATTTGTTGAATACAGAGACAAGCATATGGACATCCCGATGCGCATGCGCATCCAGCATGACATTATTGGGTGATGGTTCTCGGAGTGGAGAGGAGTGTGGTATTTGTACTGTTCTTGCTCTTCTTTTTGTCGTCATTGTTGTTGTTGTTGTTGCAGTGTTGGTGGTGGTGGCAGTGTGTGCCTGTTCCTCATTTCGTTTTCGGACGTCCCAGCGGCTGTTCTGACGTCAGCTGATACAGCTGATATACTGCATCGCGCTGCATCGCTATGTGCGCTTATGTCGTGCAGTCGAGGTATCAAGAAGTGCCGGAAGCAACGAGAGACAGACCAAGCGCGCCTGACGTTGGCACGAGAAAAAACGTGTGTAGCTGTGCATAGGCCGGCACAAAGAAGAAACAACATTGGAACGGGCGGGGGAGAGACAGAGAGAGAGAGAGAGGGAGGGAGAGAGAATCTGGAAGGGACGAAACAAGGAAACACAGGGAGACAGAAACTGAAAGAGAGAGAGAGAGAGAGAGAGGGAGATAGAGAGTGCCTGCGCGAGCAAAGAGTTTTTGGCATTGGCCAGGATGCACGAAAGGGCCAAGGGAAAGGAGCGAAAGGCCTGTGGGATGCTTTCCACGGTTGTGTTTCGTGCTCCTCGAATAGTGCCAAGCTTTCAATGGCTGTGCACGAGGCTGGCATGTTAAGGCCCTGTGGCTCGCATGCGAGGCAAGAACAAGAGCAACTCCCGCAACTTCATCCTGGCCGCAGATGACGCTTGCCAATTGGAAGTTGCGGGCGTTTGCGAATTCCACGCACGATATACATACATACATGCATGCATACATACACACGGTAATACACACGCACATATACGTGCACATACACATATATGTATACGCACTTGCAGACAGATTCAGGCACAGATACATATACACAAGCATATGCAATGCGGATCTACGGATCTCCCTGGTTTGCCAGCCAGTGTAGGTGCAAGAGACGAGGAGCGCACGGCATCGGTCACGGCGCGAGGGTTGTGAGACACAAGCTGGTTGCCGGTGCTCGTAGCTTTGCAGCTCGCCGTGTTTGCAAGTCCATGTGAAGGGAGTGGAAAAAGGCATCGGAGCGGTCAGACACACAAGTCGTCTGTGTATACGTCTTGTATACACATCTGTAAACTCGTATGTGTAGACTGTATAGACATATATAAATAGAAATAAATAAATAAATTACATATATATATATATACTATTTATATGCATGTACACGCGCATGTACACACTTGTATCGTATGTTCTCTCTCCCTTCCTCTCTATACATATACCCGACACATACACATACATATATACGCATAGTTACGTATACTTATTCAGATACAGATGCAGACACGCACACACACACACACATATCTATATATAGATATATATATATACACATATGTATATTTAGGTATGTTGAGTAAGTATGAAGACTCAGATCACGAGCCAGGGAACTTTGCTTCCCGCGCCCGAGAATGACGAATGCATCAAGGGACCAGTCCCAGTGGGTGCACAGGCCGGGAAAGTTGAAGGGTTGTTGCGCAAGGTGCTTCTTCTGTTTTCGATGTCAGCTTTGCTTGACGCTGCGTCTGGCCATTTGGGACAAGTTCTTGCTTCTGTGCACACATTTCAATCCTTAGCACTTGGTGCCGTGCTCTTGGAAAGGACGAAATGCTTCGAAGATGTTGCTAGGATAGCATGTTGTTGCGGCTGCAGCTATGAAGCAATCACCATCCGGGCTGAGCTGAGCTGCGCGGGCTAGCGTTGACATGCTCTTGCGAAGGAATGACATGCGTATCCTAGGGACACAGCACTCCATCAGCTTACAAACTGGCATGCCTGGCTCCAGCTGAGGCTGAGGCTGCCCTGAAATCTCACACACCTGCCCCTGGAACGCCTTACAACTATGTATGTATGTATATATATATATACATATTACTATATATATATATATATATACATATACATCAAAGTGAAGTCAGAATGTTTCAGCTCCGGTTCTGGAATCATCGAGACCGGCGAATGTGGCGCAGGCATATGCCTTTGCTGTTGTTCTGAAGCTTCGGCCTGGTCGGGAGTACAAAGCTAGGCTTTTGAGGCGCTGTAAAGGTTTAGGGTTTAGGGTTTAGGGATCAAGAGCACTGTTCAATCTTGCAGTAATGACTGGAAGAAACATAGCTGCCCTGGGCTTCTCCCATCCAAAAAGCAACCGCAGGGTGTTGCCAAGATTGTCACGGCGAACATTGCAAACAACCAGTGCTCAAGCCAAGCCATTTTGTCTGGCCTTGGGAGTCTTGCATGCAACGGTATATGGGAGTTTCCGAAAATAAGGAGTACCTTATTTTGGGTCCTTATAGTAAGGATCCTACTATTTAGGGTGCTACATTAGGGTCCACTATTTTCGGAAACCCCCACATGGCATTAACATTTATCTGACACTATGGACCCAACATGGCTTTATATTCGTGTGCTCAGGGTTCCAGCGCCTTCCGTGCTTGCTGCATCGAGTTCACGCCACAGGGGTGGGTATGTCTAATTAGTACGTAGTTGTCCTGTGCTGCTACGTCCAGTTCTCAGCTCCATAAGGCGTCATTCCTTGTTGTAGTTTTTTCAGCGACGGCCCTACATATTCAACCTGGTCCCCGAACACCCAAACACTGAGCCCTGTGGCACATGAGCCTAGAAAAGCAGGCCCCGTCTTTCGGAAGATTGCACAAGTTCCATCCGGAAACAGTGCCTTGGACGGCAGACGTTTCAGGAAGCTTTTTTATCGGCTGAGGGCAGAGGGCCGGGGATCTTTTGGGATATTTGTAAACAGGCGGGCATGTCGGTACTCCTGGGTCGGTGTGCAAGCAACTTTTCGTTCATACTGCCGGGACTCCGATCCGGCGAGACCATCGCACACCGCAACCACAATCACATTCACAACCACCACAGCCACAACACCGACAACAAGAACAGCAACCAGCAACAGCAACAGC